TTTTCAGGTACGTGGGGGGTCAAGAGAGGGCACGTTGAACGATGTGGGTTGTCACAGAGGAAGCGTGTCATGGGGCGTCCTTTGTCCTTCATGTTTTCTTTTCTTGTCTAAAAAAGTTTACCTATGTCCTTTTTGTATTGGGACGCTTTTCTTACGAAATAAATTATTCATTTTTTAAATAATGTTTTCCTTTGTATTTCTTGCATACAGTCCTTGTTAGTCACGACTTAAGGTTAATTTTTTTTTTTGGGTCCGGACAAGTTATCAATATAATTTGACATACGAATTTGGAATGAAAGTAGTTACAAAGTCATGGCATTGTTTAGGAAGTAGAGAAGAGGTTAGGAAGAGGAGAAGTTGTCAATGATGGTGGTGTGGAGGGGGTCGCTGAGATGGGTGGCCCAGTTATTGAGCGGCCCTTTCCCCGTCACAGCAGCTTGAACAGCGAACCCAAGGAAGGCAACCATGGCGAGGCGAGCGTGTTTGATCTCAGCCAGTTGAAGAACAGCTTTCTTCTCCGGATCCTCCGCCAACCCCAGCGGGTCGAAAAACTTCCCTCCAGGGTACAATCTCTTCTCCGGCTCTAGCTCCGCGTTCCTCTGAAACTCGATGTATCCGATCACCAGAACTTCGATCCAGATCAATGCCGTGAGCGAGAACGGAAGCGGCTGCCCGAGGTACGATGACCCTTCCACCAATTCTACCTGCAACCAAGTTCGTTGGAAGGGAGTCCCATATTAGCAAGTACTATTAGGCCTTTTCAAAAGCCCAAAACAAAGCTACTAGAACTTATGCTCAAAGTAGACAATATTATACCATTCTCGAGAGTCACGAAATTATGCTCAAATATCGTGATTCTTAACATGGAGAATTTTCTCCAAAGAAAGAATCGAGCCTCGATAAACGGAAGGCTGTTCGAGGGCTCCATAGGTCTAAATTAGCTAATTAAAGGTTTGATATAAGTAATAAATAAATCTCTATTGATATAGGCTTCACTCGGTCTAAATCTAAAAGAAAGCTACCCGAAATTATGCTCAAATTGGACAATAGGACACTAGAAAGCTACCAGAAATTATGCTCAAAATTGGACAATCAATTGGACAACAGGACACTGAAAATGTCAAATGGAACCGACTGACCTTTCCAGCGTCTTGCCAAGTGACGCCGGTGAGCCATTCAACGGTGAGAGCGCCGAGGGTTGCTAGCATTGCCCATCTTCCATGGATCAGCTCGCACTCACGAAATCTCTGCAACCCAAAAACCTCCGTGTACGGTTGAAACGGCGTCGATTTTACTTCGGAGTTCTCAAATCTCGTCCCTATTAGATCTCCAGCCACATTCTTCGCCAGATTCTGATCCAACGAGTCCAAATCGTATTGCAGATACTCTGCTGGTTTCCCCAATCCGAACGGATCGAATCCGTAGTCGCCGACCAAGCTTCCGTCGAGCCATTCCGGCGCCTTGGCTCCGGGGAACCATAGAGGTCGGTCGGGAATCTGCTTTGACGAAGGCAATTTCTTCGCCGGGCTTTTCTTTTTGCCGAATGAGAATCGGGCTTGGACTCGGCCGGAACTTGACCGCACGTCGGCGAGGCGTGTTCCGATGAAGGAGGAGGTGGCGGCGGAAGTGGCGGCCATTACGACGGCGAGTCGAGAACGGGGGATTGAGGAAGGAGAATGAGATGGAAGTAGGGATTGTGGTTCGGATTTTATGTGGTTTTGAGAAGGGTATTGTGATCGGCGAGTGCCACATAATCTGTTGGTGAGGATTTTATGTCCGTTGGATTGTGAGACGAATCCATCTGACGGCTGTTGTGAGTTGAAGCCTTATCTATTCCTTATCCCGTGTACTGGGAACGGTGGGCTCCAACTGTCCACGTGTCACCCGATTTTGTTTTGGAAGTTCGTGGTTGTGGTTTCTTGAGGGGTGGAAGTAGCAAGACACTCTATAATCATCACTTTTACTAATATATTTTCGTTACTAATATATTTAAGTCTTATGATTTCATTCTTTCAGTGTCTTATTCTTTTTTAGAGTAAGTTCTTCCTAAGCTGCTCTTAGGTTAGTTCAGTTTCCTAGGTTACAATCTAAATTAGTTTGTTCCACCTAAGCGGCTCTTAAGATAACTAAGGGCCCACTCTTCCGAGGTGGTTTGTTGGGTTCGCAACGTTGCCAAAAAATTATTTCTCGCCATTCTGGTGGGGAATGCCCCAATTCGATGGTTGGGCACCCATTTCGCGACACCGGCGCATTTTCGCTAGCGTTCTACAGCGGTTTCGAAATGCTGCGAACCAAGAAACATCAATTATACAATATATTTCAATGAAGATCGAAGAAAATACTATTGAGATTATCGAAAGATATTTTAATTCATGCTACATTGAAGTAGAATGAAGTTTCACGTTATAAATTTTGGGTCAATTACAATTTAGAGTAATTGTATTTAATTAATATATTTTAAGACTTTTTATTTATTTTAGATTACATTTACACCATGGTTAATTATGACCTTGAATATTACTCTGTGCATTTAATAGTTTGATTTTAAGGCTATATAAAACCATGTATGTTTATTTGTAAGATGACTTTTAAAATGTAGTAAAGAAGCATTTGTGCTCACCTTAAAAAAAAAGTGGTTAAAAAATTATATTTATTTGCGGTACATTACATTAATAATTAAACTGTTATAAAACTCAAATATCAAACATGCACAAATTACAATGTATCACTATCATCGGTAACAAACGTCAAATATCTAATCTAGTTAATGTCAGAATGATCTCAATAAAAAAAATGTCAATTTATAACCAATCTAAATTTTTCGATTTTTCAAACTCAGAAAAAAAAAAAACATATGAATTCAACTATTGACCCTTTGCATGTACCCGAATGACCGATTACAAGTAGCAAGGTTAAGAAGATTCAAGAGGCCTATACATTGCATCTTCAAATGCTAGAGCGTACAAGTTGAAACAAAAACTTTTGAGTCCAAAAATCTTTATACATTTAAAGGCAAGTAATATTCATGTCCGAGGATCATTGTTAAATACAAACAAAACCTTTGTATTTTTTTTATACTTTTTTGTGTTATTCTTTTTCAAACCTTATCAGGTTTAATGTGTAAACCTATACATTGAGTGAGTTGTCTTGGAATCTAAGAGTGACCAGCATAGATTCCAAGTTCGATCTAAAAGTCATTCATCTTCTAACCAACTCTTGGTTGGAATCAATTCGTTAAGTTAGTTTTCTTTGTGAACGTTTGCAAGGATTCTAGAAGGACCTCTACCTTTGCAAAATCCAACATTATTCGCGCTTATCACTAACCTAACCTAATATTTATGGTTGTCCAAATTAATAATTATCAAATTCTCAAAATTATTAGAACATAATTAATTATTATTTTATTATTATTATTATTATAGTTTAAGTAACCAAATATTTAATTCTAAATAAACAAGTATTATATACAATCCTCTTAGGGCAATTCATATCTTTGGGGAAGCCCAATTCCACAATTGGGCCTTCTTTTTTATCTTTTCCATTTTAGATGATAATTTTTTTTTATATAGATAAATACAGATAATTAAACATATTGATATTTATTTTTATTTCTCGTCCCAATAACCATTTAAAAAAATGTGTTAGCAGGAAATTCATTATTTATTGATAAATAAATTATAAAAAATTGAATTATTGGTGAAATATTATTATCATTTTTTAATTTTTAATTTTTTAAAACATATATATTTATTTTAAAATTTTATAATGTGTCTCTTTTTGACTTTAGACACAAATTTGTCTAAAGTTAGCTTTTTCAGTAAAAAAAAACATTGTCTGAAAATTTATTAATAAATATTATTTTTTTTAATAAAATATGTCTGATTGCTTTGACTCTTCCATCTCTTGTGTTCTCAATTTTTGTTTTTGTTTTCTTCTTCTCTCTTGACGTGTGTGTTGTTTATGTCCGCATGTCCGATGTTCTGGTCATGTTTGTAAAGGACGTGTTCTCTATGGCCATATGACTGTTCCAAACTTCTTTTAAATACTTTCGTCTTAAATAGTTTTTTACTACTTCATGTTGGGTAATAATTGGAGTGCTCTGATTGTTTACCAAAATCATGTGTACACAGGTCAAGATTAAAATGCTCTAAAATGTACTACAAATGGGTGTGGTTAGTTGTCAATTTCTTCTGTCCCTTAGTTATATGATATTTATTCTATGGTGTTTTTTTTTTTTACTTATAGACATATAACGTTGTTTTCTTCGGTTCTTTCAAATTATTTTCAAATGTATTTCGTCGCTTACATTTTCTATAACATTTCTCGCAAACGTGACTCAAGGCTCAAGCATACGCCGGCGTTGTCCGCAAAATCCGAATTTCTCACAGCTGACTTATTTGTTGGGTTAAAATAAGTGCCGCACAATCACTTTCTTGTTTTTGCAAGAGTGCTATTCCTTGCGTAGATCTTATTTCAATGAATGAGTTAATTTATCTTTGTCTGAGCGAATCTGAGGAAATCGTGGAGTAAAAAAACCAAAGAAATTGTTGGGAGAAGAAAATAACAGAAAAAAGAAATGTGCAACTTAATTAGAACACTTCCACGGTGGATGTGTACTTAACACGGTCCGTTCGGTTAATGATTTTCAACCTATGAATTTATCTAGCACGTCTTGCCTTCAAGCATAGGTTGAATAGGGAATTGGTTAAAGATTCAATATTATAAATAGAGAACATTAAATTTAAAAATAAATAAAATAAACCCTTCATATATATGTTTTTTTTTTTAATAACATATTAACATGGAAGAATTTAAAGGAAGAAGAAACACTGAAATCTTTGTTATTTCAGTAAATTTGGGAGTTTTATGGTAAAATCATAATTAGCAGCAGCAAGAAATAAAGTGTTCATGATCTTGTTTTTGTTTTTGTTTTTTTTTTTTTTTTTAATCCAATTCCAACAAAAAAAANTTTTTTTTTTTTTTTTTTTTTTTTTTTTTTTAATCCAATTCCAACAAAAAAAATACACAGAAATTCACCACCAAATTCAACAAAAACATTACACCATCTTTTGATCATGTTCTTCATCTTCTTCTTGATTTTTCAGTACAGTCTCAGTACACTTCTGGCAATGGACTGTGCCGGATTTGGCCGGTTCTTCACAATCCCCCCACGACGGCTGCCACCACCCTTCATCGGCGTAAGATAAAATCGTAACAGCCCATTGTCGACGACCTCGTTCGGTGAATATCTCGCACTAGGATTTCTCTCCAACACCAAATCTTCTTTCTTCTTCCTCCACAATCCGCCATTGTTGCTCTTTCTCATGCTGCTCCCAAACGATCCGCCATTGTTGTTGCTCTGCGAGCTTCTCCAGCTCACACTGCTATTGCTTCTCATCATTTTGGGATTAAACCCCGTTCCCCCGATTCCTCCGATTGCTCTAACGTCGCCGTTTCGATCGCCTCGAAATTCCGGCCATGATTCCGATAAGGATCTGGTTACGCCGTTCGTTCTGCTGCTGTATCGGTCGTCGTCTTCGTATTTGTTGCCGTTTCGGCGGTGGATAAACGCCAGAATGTTCCAGCCTTTGCCCCACCGCCGGGACTTTTTCGCCTCCTTACGCTCGCCGTTTCTGAAAGGGATTTCGAAGGTCTCCGAACAGTCGTCTCGCAAGGAATTCGAGTTGGAATCTCTTTGGATTTTGTCTGGAACTACCAATTTTGGACCGGAGAAGAAATCGGCGGTGGCCGGAGAGACTTTCGCGTTTGAGGATGATTTGACCTCGTCCATATCCGCTACGACGGCTGCCGCCGTCTTCCTTAACGAGCTTGATCTGTCGAGGCTTCTTCTCCGGCGAGAGGAGTCGGAGTAATAATCTCTGGTTTGTTCTGAACCACCAGGGACGGTTTCGTCGTCATTGCCGGGAATTGCAGGCTCTTCAACCGGAATTTGAGTATCGGTTCGAGAAACGTGAATCGGAGCATCTTCAACAACAGAGAGCATCGTCGGCATTCTGGTGAAAGTACGGCTTACTAAATAGCCATCCCAAGAAGCTCGCGGTTCTTCGAAGGAGTAACGAGGATCATCGAAGGAGATTCGGCCGGCGTCGAGGGAGAATCTAGGATCAGTATCGCAAGATCGGCGGCCATAGCCGTAATCGGCGATTTCCGACTGAGTTTCTCTGAATTGACGGCCGATCGGCTTCTCCACCGGCAATGCAACGGAGCTACCGCCATTTCTCTGTTTCTTGAGCTTCTGTTTGTCTCTCCATTTCTGCCATTTCTTGCTGAAAACAGAGGCGGCGGACCAGAAACTGCCGGCAATCTCCTTGAAATCACGACCGGAGGGTTTCTTAGGTTGGGAATCGAGATCTATGTGATCCTTTATGCTCTTGAAATCGTCTTGAACCAGTTCCGTTTCCGCCCTACTTGGTTCTTCATGATCCTCTTCCTCGCCTTGTTCTTCTTCTTCATCTTCTTCAACGATTTCTTGAACTCTGTCGTCCACTACGTTACCGGCATTGGATTCCACAGAAATCTCAATTTCAGGTTCAGTTTCCGTTTCGTCTTGTTCTTCCTCAGACGAAGAAGCCAAGTTTCTCGGTTCATCCTCAATGTGAACACCGCCATTACTAACCGGAGGAGCTTCATTCTTCAACGGATTCCGTTCATCATCCTGAGTGAAAAGAGTACACAGAGTATTCCGCGCCCTAACGTCGCAGGATTTCCTCTGAGGCTCAAAAACGCCGGAAAACCCTTCGTTCTTTGACGCCGAGAACGACTTAGTCCGACGAAGCTCAGGAAAAAACGAGGACGGTTTATTCCGGCCAGATGCAGCCGAGGGAAAACCAGCGCCGGCAGAGGGTCTGAAAATGGCCTTTAAAGCGGCAGCGGCGGCGGAGGAGTTAAGCGGTGGTTTTCGAGAAGAGGTAGAAGTCGAAGAAGGTTCTAGAACAGCAAGACGCTCGCAGAGACATGAAGGGCAGAAACCAGTGAAACGTTCTTGTGGGTGACGGTCGCAGGAGGTGGAGGGACGGTGGGGCTGCGGCGGCAATGGCGGTAGGGCCTCCGTGACTGGATTCATCACCGGTGAAATTGATTCGTAATGCAAAAGCAACAGCTACTGGTCATGTTACAAAGCAGGGTGAAATTGAGATCAGGAGAGAGAAAGAAGAGAGAGAGAATCTGGGTCTAACGGACAGAAAACAAAATAAGGTTAAAACGACTGAAAATTCTGTGGGAGGGAAGAACAAAGGTGGGGCCCACAGGCTGCGTGTCTTATCGCTTTTTTTTAATTATTATTTTTTTCCTTTCAGCGTTGTTAAAAGAAGAGAAAATTACTATTCTGGGAACATGCGCCGCTGTGAAATTACCATTTTGTACCCTTCTTCTGTACTCCCCCTTGCCCCAGGCCTACACTTTCTAGGCTCTGTTTGGCCATCTCATTTTTACTTTTATATTTAATTGAAAAACAATTTTTTTAAAAATAAATAAAAGATAAATACAATCTATCAATTATGTTAATACTAATTTCCCATATAAAATAGTTAATTTAATGTTTCTAAAAATTAAAAAATGAAAAAGAAAATAATTAATTTTTTCTTTGATTTTTCATTTTTTTTAATTAAAATAGAAAAGTCAGAATTGTGTAGACATGAATTTTGATAAATTGGTAAATGAGGACGAAATATACTAAAATAACAACTTGTGTTGGTTCGTGGAGATAGTCGTCACTCTCAAAATACTTTAAATAATTAAGTAATACTGTCATGTGCTAGGCGTCACAATCGCACTTTTGATGGCAACGGACTTACGATTGTGCAACACTCATTTTCCAACAGCAAGTGAGCTAAGTTAATTTGTTCTTTTGTCGCCTACAACCAAGCGACGTATGCTCGAGCTTCTGGCCTCGGTTTAAGAAGAAGGTTTTAGAAAAAGAGGGTAGAGAGAGATTTAAAAAAAAAAGATTTTGAAAGAGGTGTTATATATGCAAGCAAAACAGTAATAACAACTGCTCACAGTATATAACTATTGATAGGGAGAAGTTGATAACTAAGCATATCCCCCTAGTACATTTCATGTCTGGCAAGCCTAGACATGATTTTTTCGAAACGTCATACTTCCTAGAAATACAAAAAGTAAAACATTAGAACATGAAAAGGCATAAAGAGTTTGGTTTGTCATAGACAATACGTCTTGGACGAGCATGACCGTAATACTAGGGATGTAGAGGAATATCGAAGATAGCCGGTATCGAATTTAAATTTTAAATTCTGAGATATACATAATAAATACACATTTTTATCAATTACTAAATACGTAATTATCATTAGAATCAAATTTTAACAAAAAAAAAAAAAAAAAAAAAAAAACGATCATGATCTTTAAGAAGAAAAAAAATTAGAGAAGAAAATATTTTACTTTTTTTAATTACTTTTATTGTGAATTTTCCTTTTAAAAAGATTCTGAGATGAGATGATAACAAAGGTGGAAAAAAAAAAACTAGATTTTGATTTCTTTTTATTTTTTTTCCCTTTATTATTATTATTATTATTGTGAATTTTCTTTTTATTTTGTATTGCAATAATAAATAAGTAATAATTTGATGTTTTCAACAACGGCTATTTCTTAAAGTCCAAATATTTGTTTTGTTTGGTCACTTCTCATGCCCATATAACATCTTTTTCATTACTCATCCCACCGTACGATATATCGTACCTTTACTAATTTTCTTTGTGAAAACTCGCCTTCAATGCTAAAAAGAAAATTTGATTCGTTTCAATATACGAACGCCTTTTTTAAATTTTATTTTTTAGATATAGATTTGTGTCCACGAAAAAGTTACGGTCCAATTCGAATTTTAGCTGTTCTTATTAGGGGTAAAATAATCGGCTGAGTCATGTTTGAAGCCAAAAGTCCAAGCCGTTTAAAGTACGACTGGGATCCAAGGTAGTTGTCCTCTATGGTAGCATCCAAATCACGAATGGTCGACCCCTTGTGCAGTCGATTGTGGCCTTGAAGGCTGAAGAGTAAAGGTTGCCCAAGGGTGTTTGACATGGCCTTGAATATCAGCCCATACGAGCTACTTATAATCAAAGGTAGACTTGGATTCAAGCTCGTCTCTTGTGACTATTTTTCTTCATTAAAGGGTTGGTTAAGGGTGTCAGGTGTCACAATTGCACTCTTGCGGAAGTGAAACAACGATTGTGCAACACTTATTCTAACCTGGGGAACAAGTTAGGTGACACATAAATGACGGGAGTTCTACCTGTCATGAAATAAGAACCAATCTCATCCACCAAGGGTTTGTCAAGACACATCAGGTGTCGTGTATTCAAAAGAATCATTTACAGTAGAGGAATAGTGTCAATGGTTGTAAAAGAAAAGGTCGAACATCAAATGAGAGGCAGGCACCGGCTAAGTGCTAAGTTATGCAATGCATGTCCTTTTGGGGTACAACATGCTGCTGATGAGACATTAAGTTTAAATGTGAGAGAGCCCTAGAGAATGGGTTGCTCATTGTATGAGAGTGCTCTAAGAAGCGAGCACACATGTATTCTAGGGGCTTCACAAGCGTGTCAAAACCAACATTCACTCAAGAAGAGAGCATCAGGTTTGGACGTGGGCAAATAAATGAACCTATAACAAGAGAAGTGTTAAGGTAGCGAGTGCCACATGAAGATAGCCTGTGAAAAGTTGGCTAAAGTATAATGTCTAACGTGGGATTGTGTTACAAGATTCCAAACTTCGCTACCGTATGGGTTGGTGCCAGGATAAGTCATGTCGTGGTTGGCTTGTGAGCCTCATCTTGAGGAGTGCACCATTATCTGCGACTTAGAATATGAGTGTGTGAGGCCAAATGGCCATGCTTGGGGCACACTCCCCCTAGTTTAGGTGAAGAGATGTTGGTGCTATTTTTTCCATGGTTTGTTTAGTGAGTACAAGGTCGAATTTGAGAAAAGGGCGAGTTAGATCCTTGGTGGAATAGCCCATAACCATTGGGTAGTGTGTTTTTTGTGCTTATGCTGCAAGTTTCGGAGACCAAGAGAAGATCAGTAGGATAACCCATAAGTAGTGTGCAAGTTTCGTATTCGTTCTAAAGCATGCTATTTCCGACGGGTTAGTTAGCAGCCACTCCAAAGTTTGGATCGTCATCAAGGACAATGCTGATATTAAGTGGGGGAGAATGTCTGGTGTTATTATGTCCCCAAGAAAGTCATCGAGAGGATGATGATTAGTTTAAGTAGGGGAGAATGTCACAACCACATTAAGAAAAAAGTAGGCCGTAACTCTCACACAAAGTCAAACAAGACGACAACCCTCAAATAGCTTCCATCCGGTCATGTGAGGGCCAAGGTAGTCAAGTGCTAGAATGCGACTGAGGAGGACGGTGCATCATCTAACACACCAAGGAAGAAGTGCATTTGAGCCAAGCTGAGACATAAACAAGATAGAGGCAAAAAATAGACAAGGGGGTCAAAGATAGGTTTGATGAAGGGTCGAGTAAAGCCACAGGCCTTAACCTCAAATGTCGGGGTTTCGACAGGAGTTTGGGTTGTGGTTCTAAACTTAAGTCTGTCCATACGAAAGATGAAACCTCACCAAATTTGGTGTCAAATGGACACCGAGCAGACACTCCATGAGATCTATGAACATTCGCTAGAATCATGTCTATTGCTGCAAGACAAAAAATACCTTATAATGTACATTAGGGGTAGGCTTTCCACCACCCCTAGTGGCCTAAGCGAGCTGCCCTATAATACATACATGTGTCATAGTGAGGCAAAGATTGCAAGATGAGTGTCTCGAGCGACTTCCTTTGAAATAGTTTTTCAAGGACAATGTCAGATGGCATGAGTGTACCAACATTGCACCCTTGTCATGTGTCGGAGGTTGAAAATGCATCTGTTATCAAGTACAATTTTCGTAAATGACTTAGCATGGACACAAGAGGGTCCTTGCCTCAATAGAACCCAAATGGATAGATGTTCGAGATGCACCAATGATATGAACGACACATAGTTCCATTCTTGATTGACACGACCATGTGAGTTACGATGGTTGATGAGGCAAGTCAGATAGGCTGTATATGATTGAATATGCACGCATAGACGACGTATGTAGTTGAACAAGCTTACATTCCACATGAGTTGTGTTTGGTTGGCGAACGTAAACCCTACCTAAGGTCCAACGAAACATCAAAGTAGGGTAAAAAAATAGAAATGAAACTCGAGTTTCCCTTAAGAGCATGTCAACATCATAACACTGCACGGTCGAAAATGTACGATATTGGCATCAGACCATACTTTTTCGTGTGTGGGTTTGCATAAAACTATTTATTACATTATTGCAAGTATACATATCAAATTTTTTTACTCTCTGTAATAAATTAATTTTTTTAAAATTATAATATTAAATATTGTTAGCCAACAAACTTAATTTTTACCATTAAATATTTTTTTAAAAAAATAATTATCAAATAAAGGCTTTAATAATAACACCATAGTAATATAAATATTCATATTTTACTATTATAGTTATAAAAATAAATTTGTGTAATTTAAATTTTAAGAAATTGTTGACCTATTATGAAAATTGATTAGAAACAAAAAGAAAAGTTATAATAATAATAATAATAATAATAATAATAGTAATAATTAATAATAATAATGACCAAATGAAAGCACACGTGTATACGTAGGAATTACGTAGGGTTATACAAAGCGCGGTGGCATCAATTCCTGAACACGAGGCCTCAAATTTTGGGCCCACAGTTCTCATATCACTTCCATGGACCTGACCGCACCGGATTTTTCCTTTCAAATCTTAATTATTCCTAACATTATGTTGAATTTTCGTCATATTCTTATATGTTTGATTTTATTTATATAATAAGAAATCAATAAAATATCATAAAAGTATACTAACATGAACATGAGTATTAATAATAAGAATTTTTAATTTATTTTAAGACAAGCCATTTTTAATTCATTTCTTAAAGTTTTGTTTTATTTTTTATTTCAACAAAATGAATATTTTAAATTTTAAATTTTCAGTCGAAAGTAAATATATTCATATCAATTGAATTATATTACGTTACTAAATCAATTTGTGTTTTTTTAAATCAATGATAATAAAAATTGCATCTATTTCATCTAATCTCAAAGGGTAAAAAGTTGACTTTTTTTATCTTAAAAAGATGGGATTATT